AGCACTACAATTTTTTGTAGATGGTTTTCTTAGTCCATTGTTTTTTTTTATTACCCAATCATCAATAAACTTATGTTAATGTTAAATGGAGTGACTACGGATCCATTCAGAAACTTACTACCAACGAAATTGGTAGAAATAAGATTTTTTAAAAATTTACAAAAAAACGATATATTTGAAGTGACGCCCAAAATGTCCTCTACCAAATAGGCGCGGTCGACTGTTTTTTTTTAATAAAATTGGGACATCTCCAATCGTCTCAGAAAAACACTTACAATGTTGAAATGTTCTGTTCACTATTAAAATGTTTCCGCGTTTTTACTTCGAATGAGAGCATCGCAATCTTTCTAATTTTCGATTTCTTAATTTTGCTTGGAAGCGATGAAGAATGGTCTTAAACGTAAAAAAACGAAGTCTGACCGCTCCGCCTGTATGTGTGGAAATCCATTTGGTGGTCAAGTTTTTGAAAATTGTACAATTGATGGGCTACAAAAATTCAGAAAAATTCGTAATTTCGTTGAATCATAGGTATTAATGACGACTAACTCTGTGCTAAATTTCAGCCCAATCGATGCTGCCATTTTTGACAAAGTCTCATTCGTTTGTAGATCTAATTTTTGAATATCTCAAAAAGTATTCAACCGTTTATATTTTTTATTCTTTTGAAATGTTCGTCTTCATGTACTCTATGTGGATCAGTCAGAATATATATATATGGTCTCACAAAGTTTTCAAGATATTTCAATTTTTATGTAATTCGAAAAAATGCGTTATAAGCCCGCTCGGATTTTTACAAATCAATCTACCAGCTTGAAGTTTGACAGAAAGATTCCTCTTATGGCTGCAATGTTTCGTATTGAAGATGAGCTAGATCGGATAATGCGTTCAGGAGATATTCAACTTTTAATCTGAAACTATTTTCTCAAATGTATCAAAAACGACTCAACTGATTTCATTTTCCTTCCTTTCAAAATATGATGACAAAATAAAATTTTAAAAATAAAGAAATTACATGTGAAGTATCAATCATATGTCTTTCACCGTTAGGAATGGCCAACTGCTTGTTTTTTTTTATCAAACTCGGACATCTCTAATCTTCTCAGGAAGACACCTGGAATGATGAATTTTCAGTCCAGTATTATATTTTGTCTGAGTTTTTAAAAAATAAAACTGAGATATCTCCTTTAATCTTCCTACAAATACCCTTGCATGTTCCAATTTTCAGGGCTGTTATCCATTTTTCTTGGGGTATTCTTCATCAGAAATATCAAAAAAATCGAAAGCTGATCTGGAAATAGGAAAATGCAATCAGTTTCCAAATTTCAGATCAGCTTTCCAGTATTCAAAGATATGTTATCAGAAAAACCCTGAGAAACATCGATAACTGGCCTGAAAATTGGAAAATGCAAAGGAATTTCCTCGAAGATCGGAAGAGACGTCCCAGTTTTCTTAAAAAAAGCACACAAAACATGGAATGCTGGCCTGCAAATGCATAATCCCAGGGGTATTTGTAAGAGGATTGGAGGAGATGCCCCAGTTTTATCCAAGAGACCCAAAAAAAAAATTCATATTTACAAGGGTAGTTGTAGGAAGATTGGAGGAGATGTCCCAGGTTTATAAGAATAAAACCGCCAAAAAATGGAGCACTGGTCTGAGAACTCATCATTCCAAGAGTATTTTCAGGAAAATTGCAAGCTTCCTAGAAATTCCCTTGGAATTATTAACCCTCAGGTCAGTTTTCTGTTTGTCTCATTTTTTTTGGCTAAAATTGGAACATCTCCAATATTCCTAGAAATACACCTGGGATGATGAGTTTTCAGGCCAGCATTCCATTTTTGAGGGTTTTTTTTTTATAAATCTGAGACATCTCCTCCAATCTTCCTGGACATACCGCTGGTATTTTTACTTTTCAGGCCTGCTTTCCATTTTTCTTACAGTTTGACTTAGAGTGATCTGAAATTTGGAAACTGATGGCATTTTCCTATTTTCAGATCAGCTTTCGATTTTTCTGAGATGTCTGATGAAGAATACCCCAAGAAAAATGGATAACAGCCCTGAAAATTGAAAAATGGAAGGGAATTTCTGGGAAGATTGAAGATGTTCCAATTGAATGGAACAAAAGAAGCAGAAAAAGATCGAAAACTGCAGAATATTGATGACAAGAAAATGAGTGGGAGGATTGGGGGAGATATCCAACATTTGGAAAAGAAATGTGGAAAAAAAGGGCGAAAAGTGGGTAAAATATTTCTAAATCGAAGGGAATTCTGCGGAAAATTGGGGCATTGCCGATTTTATTGTAAAAGTTACTGTATACTCACTTTTTTACCCCTGGCTTTCGCCGGCTTTTTGACAGACGTAACCTGTGTTTCTCGTCGCCGTTGCTTTTCCGCTTCCGATAATCCTTCTTCCTGTCCATTGTTCACTTCAAATTTGTCACTAAACGAAATATTCTTTACCGAACCACTTTTTAACTCCAGCACTTTGAAATCGTTCAGCGAAAACCACACGAAAACAAAACGCGCCCGGAAAACTGTCATGCATCGATTACCGATGGATGACCTATGGCATAGCCATTACGTCGTAGCGTAATCGCCACTCAAGTGCTGCCATATCTATTAAAAATGGAGAAGCTCACTGAGGGCGGTGCAGTTTTCATAGGAACGAAGCCCATTGGTCGAATGGCGCATCGCGATTGCGCAATACTACACCACCTTCAGGGGCCTTCTCCATTTCCATTGTTAAAAGGAGAATGGAAGGTAGGTGACTGGATTTATTCATCGATTTCACCAGAAAATCATTGGAAGCAATGATTGTAATAAACTAAATTTTTTTTTTTAGGTAACCAGGAGAATGAGGGTCAGGCCCCGGACTGTAGGCCCTGGTACAATAATGTAAGTATAATTTTTTGTAGTGATTTATATGTTTGACATGTCTAGGTTAGATTGTAATTTTTTGTATTTCAGATAATGGGGTCCAATGCCAGGCCGTAATTTCGACCAAATCCGTTCCATGTAAGTATTTGCACTATCCCCGCCGATTAAAAATAAGTTTGGAAGCTTTTGTGGTAGTATAATAATTTTCTTTCAGCCTGGTAATTCAGGCGGAGTGTTCGTGAGGCCATGGGAAGCACCTCCTGGACTTCCCCGGCCCAGTTACGCAGGGATTGTGGCCAGGGGATTCCAGGCCCAGATATTTCACACCGTAGCTCCTGGTGTACACCGTCTAGCTCATGGTGTATACCCTCTAGCTCCTGGTATACACCATCAGGCTCCAGGTTTCCACCATCAGGCTGGAGGTGTACATTATGAGGCTGCAGGTGTACACGAGCAGGCTCCCATGGCTCCACCTCAAGAACCACAAGGTTTCCCTGCTGCGGCCCAGCCCGATGGGGCAGGTATTATTGGTGGAGAGGCAGAAGGCCCCCCTATAATACCTGTACACCCTCAAAATGGCCACCAAGCCCAACCCCCAGCTAATGCGTTGCTGCAGGGCGTTTCAGGGGATCTACCGGCGAACATATTGGTAAGTGGTCCGCCTACAGGGAAACCTCCTCTCTGATGCCTTTAATCTAATCTAATTTCTCGATGCTTTTTCAGGACGCTGTAGCTGATCGCGTCTTTGCTAGGATGCAGGAGCTGACCCGTGGTACAGGGAAAAGGGGTGGCCGAGGACGAGGACAAGGACGAGGAAGAGGAAGAGGAAGAGGAAGAGGAAGAGGGAGAGGCAGAGGGGGCATAACATACAATTTTTTGTTCCGTTGAAAAAAAATTCCGAAAAAAAATTTTTCGATAAAAAAAATAAAAATAATATCTCTTAAAATTATAGGGTGTTTTTATTGTAGCTAGCGTACATGAATGTTATTCCATTTAAAAAACAATTCCAATTATCAATATACATATATATATATGAGGTAAACACATGCGAAACCACGAAACCCTTTATGAAACTTTGCACGAAATCCTCCACGAAACCGTCCACGAAATTACCCACCACGAAATTATGCACGAAATCCTCCACCAAATCCACCACCAAACTCTGCATGAGAATTTTGCCGAAAATAACAAGAATGGTTTTCCAAACTTTTCAAATTATATTTATGTATAATAAAAAAATATTGAAAAACTCGGATCGATATTTTTAGGTATAGATTGATTGAGAATCATCCCCTCAACCGATCTACACTTACCTATAGAGTCATTTTTTTACCCCGCCGGCCATCTTGGAAATAGGGTAGTGAGGGTAGAAAAAACAGGGTCGAAATTTACAGGTACAGATCGACTCAGAATCACCCCCTGAGTCGATTTAGCTACCCCTGTAAAGACTTTTTTTTTTATCCCATCGGTCATTTTTAAGGAAGGTTAGTGAGGGTGAAAAAAAAGGTTGAAATTTATAGGTACAAATTGACTCAGAATCACCCCCTGAGTCGATTTACCCACTCCTGTGGAGACATTTTTTTTCATCCCATCGGTCATCTCAAAAGAGGTTTAGTGATGGTCGAAAAAAGTGGATTCCACATTTGGATACATCTCCCCCCCGCCCCCTCACCCTCCTCTCCACACTGTTCAGATATAAATCTCTCATGCCACTTAGTGGCATAGGGAATGAAAAAATTTTCCGGCGCCCTCGAAAGCCCCACTGTCCAATGTTTCCCTGGTTTCTAGCGATTGCCGTAGTTACCGACAAGGCATCGCTTGAGATCAAGGTTCGGGTCTTGACCGCGAAGTAGGAGGGCGTAAAATCGCCAATCGAGAAAAAATTGCCTCCAAACGGGCCTTAAAGAATAACACCAAGTTTATAGATACCGGGCAGTTGATTCTATAAATTTCGTGAAATCCAAATAAGAAGAATGTCATCAACTTGAGCAAAGGGCAGTTTTTTCCAGTAATTTCATTGTAAAACATGACCATTCAATTATCAGTTGTAGAAATATAAGCCACTCATGTTATGATAAAACTCATCTCCTGTCGTTAATTTACTACATAATTTCAAGCAGATATTGATCAACTCACGGAAATCCATTTGTTTCTCATCACTTCTTCAATTGAAAGCCTCTGTGCAGGATCTGTGCAAAGCATCCCCTTAATTAAATCTCTTGCTTCAATACTGACACTTGTCCATTCAGGAGCTGGAAAGTCATATTGTCCGAGACGTATTCTCTTTTTCATCCCCGGTGAAATCGCTAGTCCGTGATTACTGTAGAATGGAGGAAAGCCGCACAGTCTATAACAAAAATCAATTATTCAAGTGATACCCACCCAAAATAATTACCATTATTAAGAATGGTGAGGACGTTTTGAGCCACCATGAATATATTATGACATGAAGTATTGCTTCCCATTCGCGTCAACAATATTGCTTACACTGTCCGTTGTTTTACAAAGCCACCATCATTGTAATATGTCGATTATTTATATCATTATACAACTTGAGGGGTTACGTGGGTTTGGAGAGCCGAAAAAATGCCTATTTTCACCAATTTTTTTTTTTCATATAATAAACTAATTAATTCATTCCAATTTTTGAACATATCAGAGAGCAACATTTGAACAATATAGTGTGGAATTTTCATGAATAAATGTTGAAAATTCAGCCATTGGCAGCGCCCAAAAACGTCTCCTCGCGGTGGTCAGCGCAACAGACCAAGGATTGATCTAAAATCAAAAAATCCAATTTCATCGGTTAGTAGCTGTGTATAGGTCGTGATTTATCGAACGATTTGAAAAAAAAAATGAATTTTAAGGGAAGTTGCTAATAAAATAGTGTGATTTTAGATCCGATTGTTACCCCAAATTACCTTGAGAAAATTAGTGGTAATTAAAAAAAACAAATCCTTCAATCACTCACGAGGTCATCCTATCTAGAAGAACTGTGTAAAATCTCCATAAGATCGCTTTACTATTTTCTGAGCAATCGTGACCACGGCCTATGAAGACGATATTTCGGGAAAAACACGATTAAAGATTGAAGTAAGAATACAACGTAGATATTGCTTTTTTCAACTTACATAGAGTCATCGAATCCGGCATCATATAGCAAAGGTCCTGCAGCAGCTGCAATATCGATTCCATTCTTTTGCTATTCTTTGACATGGATCCCAGCCTATCGCCTTCTAACGTTAGCCTTTTTCTCTGCAATCAGTATGCGATGTTCATCCTGTTCGCGTGCATACTCGTGGCTCTTTGGATTAAATCCTTTCCTTTTTCTTGGTCGATATTTTCTCCTCATATCCTCTGATCGAGTTACTCTACCAATTTTATGCGGTGTCATTTTGCTCATGAATGAGTTTCAATAAAGCCTGTAACACTTTTCCCCGACCTCGTCCCGCGGTCGAGGAGAGCTATTACCTTCGCCCGTTCCCATACTCGCATCTGTACTATTTAACCGAATTAATGAGGGGTCCAGCTAACCAAAAATTTCGAAACGGGGCAAGGAGGTGGAGTTCCCTGCCTTGCCCTAGGTCAGCCGAACTCATCCATCTGAGAATCCCAAAATATCCAGAAACAAGAGCACGAAAGGATAGGATGAGTGGGGTTGAAACTCGTCCTGGCGACAACATAAAATCTTAAATCCATAAATTACACCAACCGGCGTGTGACCCCTTGGTGGAATGCTTCAATATAACCTTAAAGAATGATGGTCGTTCAAGAGGCGATACAAAATTAACGTAGTTCGAACAAAGTTCTCCAAAATCTAGAGAAACTAGCGAAAAGGATAGTCAAATAGCAGAGAGGCAGCTGCACTCCACATCCCTGCCGCTGGCCCGACCGGTGTAGTCTGTCGGGCTGTTCTCCTAAAGGCTGTATCTCTTACACTTTTAGTGCGATTGCCTTGAAACATTGGGAAAATATTCTAAATATATCATAGTATTTAAAAAAAAAAGTGAAAAAAAAACGATTTTTTGAAATTTTGTAACCTATGTAATCCCATGATGGTTTCTCTAAACTCTATAGAAAGGTGCGGAGAACAAGGTTGAGTCGCCAACCGGACGCGTGTCCAGGTGGCGCCAGGACGCTTGCTGGGATGCAAACAGTCATAGTTCTCATTCCAGAATCGTGGTTGGTGGATGGGAATATCAGAGGCCTGCGAGGCTGTGGGAGATTATTCCATGTGAACCCCAAAGAACACAGAATAAGGGCATGCATTTTACTCAAGGGAATGGAAGCAACTTTCAAACCACAGCTCAGGAAAGAGGACTTGGCAGTAGCCAAGCTGAGAGCCGAAATAAGAGAGAATGGAACGGTGAAATACTTAGTACGTTCAGCCTACCTACTTTACGACTCCGATGATCCCCCGCCAACACCTGAGGGGGAGGCGCTAATGGCTAGGGTGAAGGACGAGTGAACAGAACTTCGATTTGGCTGTGACGCGAACTCACACCATCTGTGGTGGGGGAGCTCAAACACCAGTGGCAGGGAAGAAGCCCTACACGACTTCATGATGGTCAACGATCTGCTACTCCTGAATGGGGGGAGCGAGCCGACCTTCATGGACTACAGAAGACAGGAGGTGCTGGATATCACCATATACACAGCAGGCATGGCAAATTTGATTAGAGACTGTAGGGCCTCGAAAGAACCTTCGGACGCGGATCATGGTCAAATACGCCTTTAGCTGAGTGGCAGAGTAGATTCCATCCACAAACGAAATTCGACAAAAACCGACTGGAAGGGATAGGAAGAGGACCTCTCACGAAGAATCCAGGATGTACCCAGCAGGTTCGAAAACAAGGAGCGACTGGAATATGCGGCCGAATCTTTCGGAGAATAGATCAGAAGCTTCTTTGAAAACAACCGTTCAATGCGCGCCATCAAAGGAACCAAACAGGTGAGCTGGTGGAACGCAGACCTAGCAAACTTGAGGGACCAGGTACGAAAAGCTTGGCACAAAGTGAAAAAGTCTTTACCTACGTAACCTACGCAGAAGGAAGACCATCGAGGAACGAAAATCACTCCAGAAGCAATGCAATAGAGCCCTGGCGAAAGCCAGAAGAAAAGGCTGGAAGAGTTCCAGTAGCCGGATTGAGAACCTGTCCGATGTCTCCAGGTTAATTAAGGTACTGGGGGGTTCAGGGCGGCGCCAACCTAGGCAGTTTAATGAAGCCAGACGGCAACTATACCTGGTCGTCGGCAAAATCCCTGCGACTTTTTTTCGAAGGACAATTTCCGGGCTTCACACTCACGGAAAGCGTGAAACAGGCCACAAGGGAAACTGGGAGTCTTTACAAACCACATAGTTGGGTTCCAGCAGCCAAAATCGTATACCCACAAGGAGTAGAATAGGCGGTTTAGTCCTTTGAACCTCTGAAAACACCAGGAACGGATGGTATTTACCCGGTGTTACTACAAAGGGGAATGGAGATCATACTGGGGCCCCTCACAAAAGTTCTGAGAGCCAGTGTAGCACTGAGAACTGTACCACGAGTTTGGGGGGAATCAAAAATCGTGTTCCCACCCAAGCGATATGCCTCGTGGCAAAGGTTGAGGAAGAGATTGGGGGAAAGGGCTAGGCAATGGGCATTTTCCTCGACATCAAGGGAACCTTTGACCGTACAGGATAAGAGGTCATAAAAACAACCCTATGAAGAAGAGGTTTTCCAGAAACCATCATGAACTGGGTATAAAGCATGTTGCTGAGCAGGTCATTAACTGCTGACCATAATGGTCCAATGGAGGGACCACATGGAGACGCAGATGGGCAAAACTTACGCCTCACTGTGGGCATGTAGAAAGGCCATGTGCAGAGACTGGAACTTTAGCCTGAAGATCACTGCATGGTTGTACAAGATGATTCTGCTGCCGCGTCTGATGCATGCAGCTGTAATTTGGTGGCCCAAGGCGAAGAGGGTGGAGATAAGGACACCGGTTCAAATGCCTACAGGGAAAATTTCTGAGGGCAGGGAGTGGGGGTATGAAAACGACACCCACGGAGGCCCTTTAAAACGCCCTTGACCTGCCTCCACTCGATCTGCTTGTAGTGAGTAAGGCAGACGCAACAGCTGATAGACTTCTTGCCAGGGGGAATGGACTCAAGTGGGACCGGCACACGCCAAACTAGAGATCCTTGAGAAAGCCCCTGAAACTTGAATCAAGATGAAATGACTAAGAAGTACCAAATCAGGAAGGCCTTTAAGACGTACATTCCTGAGAGGGAGAACTGGAAAACTGTAAAGGAAACACCAGGCACCGATATTATGCGCTGGTTCACAGACGGCTGCTTTAGAACAGGACTGTATGGGCCAGAGGGAAACTACAAACGTAATTGGTTCTTGGGAACAATGGCTACAGTGTTCCAAGCGGAAGTTCTGGCAATGAAAAAGTGCTCAGAGCTTCTGGTGTCCCGGATGACAACCAAAAGATATATATTCGTATGGTCAGACAGTCAAGCCGCTATAAAAGTTCTCCTTAAAGCCAATGCTGACTCTAAGTTGGTCTGGGAAACCATGGGGAGCCTGCAGAAAGTGGAGACCAAGGAAAAGGTAACCCTTGCCCGGGTCACAGGTCACGAAGACATCCACGGCAACGAAACGAAATCCAACGAATGCGGACGAGGCTTCATCAGTGGGAGTCCCCCAAGCCGTGGGTAAAAGCCAGATAGAAGATAAACTCTGACGAGGACAATCCAACCACTGGAAAGACAAAAAGACCTGTAGGAAGCCCAGGGCAATCATGCCTGGCCCCAGCACGAAAAGATGTTAACACCTACTGGCTATGGATAGCAAAAGTCTGGCCATTACGATTAGGTTGCTCACAGGACATGGCAGATTTAAAGAACACTGCAGAGTCATCGGCATGGATTCTGATGAACGTTGCAGATTCTGCAATGAAATGAAAGAGGGCAGTTTACACATCCTGTGCAACAGTCCGGCATTAGCAGCGACGAGACTACGTTGATGGGGTACTGCTTTCCCCACCGCTAGTGAAGTCGCGTGCAAGGAGGCAACAGATTTGATACGACTGGCAAAAAAGCCGGGATGGACATATAAAACGAACCTCAAACAAGCGGAGCTACAATAACTCTAACTTGAGTTCGGTGGCATTGGAGAGGTCAGTCATCTAATCTTATCTAATTTAATTAAATCTAATCTAATCTAATCTAACCCCGTAATGGTGGTGATCGACACAGCAGGTTTGATATTATGACACTCTTAGGTAGGCATTTGTAGTGTATGATCATTTGTATTTTATTATAATTTAACTTGTACGTGATGGATTCTGCGGAAC